AATTGAACTAGCATTACAGCATAGCATGCATATGGCTTATTTAGTAAGTCACAAATACACAAACATTTTATGGTTTTACTGTTTACTTTCAGTTGCAACTGGGAACTCAAAATCCAAAGTTATTCAGGAACACCATAATTGTATGATGATGAAATTTACTTCACTGAGACCCTAATGGACTCGCAGAAAGTATTATTCTTTTCTTACAGTTGTTCTGTATGAGGAAATCACTGCTTGTTTCTGCTGTTAACTTGGGAATTTGTAGGGATTCACTCACTTTTAGTGCTAGCCTCAAGTGGCCATTAAAGGAACTGCAATTTTTGACATTTCTTTAGTGTCGTGCCAAAAAGTAATTTTAGATGTATTTTTTAAGTGTAATGTCATTTCTTCTGTTAGTATAGACTGTAGTATATGAAGGGATTATATATAATGTAAAGAAGTGACGCATTTTACAGGTATTGTTATGAGACTGGGTTATTGTACCTACATTACAATCAAACCACTCCCTTCTACACAAAAACATATCTTTATAGAACTTCTAGAACTTCTTTATAGACTTCTAACCTGTGACAGGCTCAGAATGCCTTTATCTCGTTCATGATAGATATACTTGATGTGTATTTCACAGATTGTAAGCCAACAAATAATTTACAACACTTTAAATACAGGCAAGGATTTTTTTTTGGGTGGATTATCACTTTCTGGCACAGCACCTGATCCTGAGATTATCACTGGAGCTGACCCCCATCCACAAGACCTTCAAGTGTGTGCATGTCAGAATTAAAGTTAGTGTCTAATGTTAGCCTTCTTTTCTATTTTTCAGCCCTCCAAATCCCCCAATACCAGACACCAAGCCTGTGGGTAAGCTCAGTTTTCTTTTTTAAGTCTCTATTAAATCCAAAGGGACGACTGAGGATCATTTTGAGTATATTTATATTTGTACTTTGATGTAATTGAAACATAGTTTTCATCATACTTAAAAAAAAAAGAAAAAACAAAACAAAACAAACAAACAAAAAACAACCAACAAAACATTTGACTGTTGCCAAATACAGATTTCCCATGAACTTGTGCTTGACAAACAACTTATCTTTATGTGTTTTAAGCCTCCTATGGTGGTATGAGGGTAACCAGACATAACAGCCTGGAGGTAAGAGGTGAACTGTAACTTAGCTAAAAGTACTTATACAATGATGTGAAAATCAAAAATCCTGAATTCAAAAGACAACCCCCC